TATAATAGATTGCCACCATGAGAATGCCATACAGGATGTAAATAAACCGCTAAGACAGCCTGCTTGTTCTCTGTCTGTAGCACAAGATGGAAACTGGAGCGTCCTGGTTGGAGGCGGGACAGGGGCAGACCATTAGGTGGAGCTGACTGAGCTGCAACAGGTCCCTGTTCGTCTGAAAAGCAAGTACAGGCGGAGAAAGGCTGTGGGAGGTTCCCTTTAAGAAAATCTCCCTCTGACAAAAAAGTAATTATCGCAGAAACGCGTTGGCATGGCTGCAGCACTCTATTCATACAATGCTCATTGCAACTTGTGATATGCGAGTAGCTTTTATCCTTTCCACTTTTAATTTATAATAAACAATAATCACACGAGGAGAAGGCGGTCTTTTGTGTTCTTTTGCATGTCTCAAGAGGATATTTCCCAGTAGCTTTTGGGAACACAGCCTCTCCTATATCGTGTAAAGATTTTAAACTGATGGCTGAGAATACAGCCCCAGTCCTCTGAGCGCCTGGAGTGTTGATTTTCAAGATCAAGTACAGTGGGGCAAAAAAGTATTTAGTCAGCCACCAATTGTGCAAGTTCTCCGACTTAAAAAGATGAGAGGCCTGTAATTGGCATCATAGGTAGACCTCAACTATGAGAGACAAAATGAGAAAACAAATCCATTTACAAATCAACGATCAAAAGTTTAGAGTTAGGACCGCACTATAAGAGGTGCCTTGGCGCGGCTGTGCGGGTTTCACATTTTCTGCAGAAGACGTGTATCCAAACCTCTGTTTTTAACCTTAGTGGTGAGACAAGTTTTTTTTACATGCTGGCTTATGATACCTTTCTACTGTTTACTGTTCAAAGCCCACTTCGTGTGCACCTTACTGTATAGCTGGTGACAAATTGTTGAGTGCGTTTGTCATTTGTTTTGCTGGAAAAAGACTAGGCCCAGCTACTCAAGTGTTGAGTTGGGACCAGCGCTGAGATCCATCCGAAACTTTGAAGTGTCTGGACATTGGCTGACAGTGTCAGAGAACTCAATGTTCCTTTAGCAGTTTAAAAGGTGTATACCCCGAGAGAGAAGCAGAGCTACGACAGGCGATAGCACCTTGGCTCAGACCTGAGTTGCCGTGGACATGTCAAAGGGCAACAAACTGGCCCATTGCAAAATGCAGGCAGCCTCAATTCCCTGCAGAATTTTTTTTACTTAAAAGGAAATGTTTAGATCCAGAATAGGCCAATGCCTTCTTTTGCCTTGGGGACAGTAAATAAGTTTCAGGAGGGCTTGTTCTCGAACTTAGAGGTCCAAGTCTTCTGGCAGAACCGTGAACCATGCTTAGACAGACCCCGAGGCCCAAGAGTCAGGAAAGGAACTATTTTTTATCTCAAGAGCTGAAGGGTTACCTGTAGGACCTTTTGCCTTCTTACCCCATGACTTCCTTGATGTAGGAGTCCAAGGAGCCAACAAAGAGCATCCTCATAAGGTGCTTCTTGCACAGAAGTTCCACAGACCAACACTGGAGCCAAAAGGACATTGGTATATGTACCAAAAGAAGGCTCATCCTGGATATTTGTAACAGACCCAGTATACTCACCTGTCGGCATCTCGGACACAGAGGGTGACTCTGGCCACAGTGCGCCCACGTCATGACGCTCCGCCACCCTCCTCAGCTTAAGATCGCAGAGTTTCACTTGTCCGACGTTCCTGCAAGGACTAAGACACGGGACAAGTTCTGAGCAGTGCTGCTCTCCATCCTGCCTCTTAATGGGCTCTATAGCCTATACCCTAAAGCCTCCAGGTCTGCTGCAAACCGATGCTGTTGGGACTCATGGTGCACAAAGACTCAAGCATATCACTACTCCACAGCTTCTATACACCAGCAATCAGCACAGTCTGGAGGATTCTCCTGTAGCAGCCTGAGTACAACTAAACAGCAAGTATTAACTGCCACAGCTGATGAAATGCACACAACCCAGTATGACTTTTAAACTTGTGGTGTTAATCATCTGTTACAAGTTGCCTCTGCTACTACATGCTTTTCAACCTAATGCCATAACCCTTTAGCTCCCAGGCACTTTGTTCCCAAGCCCTGTGTGAGCAAGCTCAAAATGAGTGATGCACTAGTTTATAATACACCTGCTCAATGAGAGACATCTGAGCTCAATTAACCCAGATGTGAGAATAACTTTACAAAATTGACTATTGCTAACTATTGTCTTCAGACAATTATCTTGTGGTGTGAAGATAACATTAAACTGATTATTACTGTTTATTGACTTCAAACTAACGTGTGATGTGAGGAACATTACAACAGTTTTGTTACATACTGCTTCAATCCTGTCATGTGAACTGAACATTGGAATTATTTCAGCAGTGAGAGGCATTCAGTATGCTTAATTTATTTTTCTTGTGATGTGATACAAACATTACCATTGATACAACCTTAGTTATAGAGACTGTCATAATGTTGAAGTAAAAGTTCTGTTGAAGAAGACTTCCGCAGCTGAGTTCCATCATTCATCATAAGAGGTATTACAATATTTGGCAAAATATATATGGTAAGCCATCAACACAGTAGCCTAAGGCTACATGCAAGAGCTTTAGATGTTGGACGACAGATGGATCCATCAGAATAGATCCAGGGTCCCAAGTCATATGTTTGGACTAGACAGCTAAGGTCTGACAGACTGACAGGGTTGCAAAGGTAGGTTGCATAGCAGGACCAGCCAGAGACAACAAGGCCTTAAAAAAGGGCTTCTAACCTTTAATCTACAGAGTCCTCGAGAAAGAAAAATAAAAAGGAACATACTAAAACAGGTTTTGTTAAATGTTACCCATTTCTTAAAGACTTCCTCCTCAATGGGTTATTGTTGAGCAAAGCATATGGGGATAAAAATTTTACTTCAGGGTGAAGCCAATCACCACACAACAGTAGGAGTGAGTGAACAGGGAAGGTTTTGGCATGACTAAGAATTTGTAAGAAAGCCAAGCAGGTGAGCTTCGGCTGGATCGATGCTGGATCGTGCACACTACATCAGCTGGAATAGAAAAGGTATCTTTAAGCTTGAAAGAGATCAGGAGATTGAGCCACTTGTACAGAAGCCTCAGAATAAGAAGGTACTATTCTCCTCCACCTTCTTAGGAAGCACGGAGGCAGTTAAAAAGGAAAAATCAGACAGACTCTGGAGGAGTGGCTGAGGGGGAGGACTGCCTTTAAAAAGCCTATCCATAAATGCAGTTTGACATGGTGAATAAAAAACAAACACTCTAGATAAACAGGAGGCAGCTGGGCATGCCAGAAAAAAACAGGGAGGATAGGAGACTCTAGAACCAGGACCTTTAGGGGAGAGACTGCAGACCCCCTTACCCATTAGCAGAGCATGAGCTGGCAAGGCCTACTGACTCATTCCCCTTGCATGTATGATTGACCATTTTCCTGCCTTATCCCCATCTCCTGCAGACCTGTAAAAGAACCAGCTATATCAAACTGGAACAACCCTCCCTGAACACCATCTGTCTTCCACATATAATGCAGTTTTAACTACTATACCTGGGCAGTTTGACAATTCACACCTTAACCGTGTGAACTGAAAGATTAACATCTATGCACACTACTTGGTGTTCTTAGACAATCAACATCTGCCATGACACATTCCAGGCTGATTGGATTAAAGTGACTGTGCTACTACTAAGTGTAGGCCTGTCCTTTAGAGAAATTGCACACAAAGAAACAAGGCGTCAGGGAGTACAGTTTCCTACACCATCAAATGCACTTGGAAACTGGAGGAAACTGACAGGAAGAGGTCTGGCAGACCCATAGCCACAACAGAATTAGAAGACAAGTTTCTGAGAGTCAACAGCGTGTTTGACAGGCGGCTCACAGGACAAAAGCTTTAAGCACAGCCTAACAGTGATCGAAGTAAGCAAGTCTCAGTTTCAACTGTGAAGGGAAGATCTCAAGCTGCAGGTTTGACAGGTTGAGTGGCAGTAAGAAAGCCATTGCTAAGATGGCAAAATAAGAAAAAGAGGCTTTCCTAGGTCATAAAAAATTTGCAGTTGACTACTTTAAACTGGACAAAAGTCTTATGGACAGATTAATCAAAATTGGAGACCTTTGTTTCATCACACACTGTTTTTGTACGCCATTGAATAGGCAAAAGGATGGTTCCTCAGTGAGCAACACCAACTGTCAAACATGGAGGAGGAAGTGTGATGTCTGGGGCTCTTTTGCTGGTTCCAGAGTCGGTAACTTGCACACAGGGAGTGGCACTCTGAACCAAAACTACAATCACAGCATTTTGCAGCGCCATCCAATACCCTCTGGTGTACACCTAGTTGGTCAGGGAATAATCCTACAGCAAGATAATGACCAAAAACATACCTCCTGGCTGTCTCAGAACTACCTTAAAAGAACAAGACGATAGGCTTCAAATCATGGAATGGCCAGCATAGACTCCAGTTTTAAAAACTCCATCGAGCTGGTTTGGCATGAACAGAAGGGTAAAATCAAAGTAACCTACAAGTGCAACGCATTTGTGGGAACTTCTGCAACAGTGCTTGCAATACCTTTCCGAACATTATTTGATTTCCGTTGTATAAAGAGTGTCACGAGTGTGTTCGACTGTCATATCTGCAAAAGGTGGCGACTGATTAACAAAATGTTATCTACATTTTTGAATCAAGAAAACAATTCCATGATTTCTTTTGGATGTCCAATTGTTCATATGTACTGTGCTTTATTTTCAGAGTACACTGAGACATTAAACTGCGGACATTTCAATAAAAACTGGAAACATTTTAGTGTTCTAAAAAACTTTGCTTTGGTAGTGTAAATGTTGGGGTATGTTCCCAACTACTAATGGCTAAACCATGACCTAGATAAATGAGAACATTCATAGACATGCAAGTCACACATTGTATTGTTTTGATAAAAGGTCTATGCAAGATATAGAACTGAACCTTTTCTGTTATTAAATTACCACAAACATCCTGGCTCCTAAAAAACTCTTACCTGGTCACTGTCAGAGTTTTCTTCTTTAGATGAAGATGCACTTTCTGGCTCCATTTCACTGGATGTATGTTTGGGAGGCTGTTAGAAAATATACATAAAAGGTAACATGTCTGCCATGGCTATCTAATTGAAATACATTAACATGAATAATGTAGCATCAATATAAAATATATCTGTCTGTAACAGAAAAAAACGAGAGAAAAAAAAAAAAAACACACACTACATGCAGTTAGAAAAACTTTAAAAAAACACAGTTTTGCAGCACGAATTAAACATGGAGGTGAAGAAGCAGCACAAGGAGCCAGATCAGTTGATGTGCTGACAAGAAGAATGTTGATAGCAAGAGAAAGAGTGACAGAGAAATGAGTTCATCACTGTGCTGCTCCCATTCTCAGGTCGAGCCACAAGCTGGGGCAAGTCCAGGGAAAGCTGGCCATCAGACTGAGGATATCTAGTGGAAGGAGGAGGGGGGCAAAAAAAAAAAAAAAAAAGGGACTACAGGGAAATTTTCAGAGATAAATGTGAATATTGCAGCAAAGGTTGGTTTTGATATACGTTAACTTTTAATGGGCTATTCATCTTTACATCTCGTTTTTGACTAGAGTCCTGTTTTAACAACATGGGCAGATAGAAGAAAATGTGGACTTTTATGTTAGGGTCAATTTAAAGAGTAAGTAAGCCCCAACAAAAATATACCACTGACAGTGTTATATCCTTCTTAGAAGTAACCAAAATACATGTTGATGCTTCAAGAAATCATGTGAGCTAATCACTTCTTGTGCTCTGTACCTCCGCTTAATGATATAGCATTTTCTTCAGCCCTCTAGGCAGACTACAAAACACCTCCCCCTATGTTATGGAGAAGAGAAAACTAAAACCTAAAAGCAGCTACCACATCCAAGGACTGGTAAGCTGCTACACTTAAGCTTAACCTGGTAAACATGTGAAAAGAAGCCTCTCTAAATGCCTGCAATCTGGAAATCATAAATATAAAATATTTGTATGCAGTATATTACTGGCAAAATCCAAAATGACATATGATGTAGTCTGTCACTAGCATTTACACAGCAGTCCCTCCCAAGTCCACTCTGTAAGGTAGACGTTGTGAAAGTTGTACACATGGAAAAGTAATCCATTAGCGGGATCAACACTTAAATTAAACTATGCTGCAGAAGGACCCCACGGACTCCAAAATACTTGCATGTTATTGCTACTGCCAAACTGCATCGTACAGAGTGGGGGACTTCATCAAAACTGGAGAATCTGGAGCAGTTGCCCAGGGCAACCAATTAACATCTCTCTTCAGTTTGATCAGGTAAGATTTGAAAAATGAGACCAAGAAGCTACTTGGTGGCAGTGCAAATCTACTTAAGAATTGGTCTGCTCCAGTTTTGATAAATGACCCCCGGTATGTCTTATTTTTCCCATAGTTACACCTTGAACAGAGAAATTAATAAGCTGTCAGTGTGAACCCCTCCATCCACCTCCCCCTAACATTTTAGCTCCCCAGCTGATTTTGGTATCAAAACTTCCTAAAACAATTACCTGGTAAGAGTGAGCATGCAGCAAGTGTACATGTCAGAACTTCAGACCAGTACACTTGTTCTGGATCACCAACATAAATTGGTAAACTGATAAGAGATTCTGTAGCCAGTATGTGTACTATGAGAGTCATAGGCAAAGGGCCCAGGACACGTGCTTGCTTTCACAATAATGGTAATCTTTAACCTACTAAAGACAGATGACAAGCGCTCCCATTCATTATAAAAATGTTGTGACAGCACTTAGACGGATGTGTAGTTATTTTGTAGATCTTTTCTTTATTATGGTAAGAAATTAAAAAAAAAACAAAAAAACTTAAAAATGCTGCATAGAACATTGTGAGGGGAAATTATTAAAACACTGGAGCAGACACAATCTGGAGCAGCTGTGAATGAAACCAGGTTCTAGCTTTCATTTTCAAAGGTCACCTGAACAGAGAAGCTTATTGGGTACTATGGGTAACTGTTTCAGATTCAGTCGGATCCAGTTGTAGTAAATTCCCCCCCTACGTCTTTCAGTTGGCTGAAAGAAAGATACATACATATGTATGCATGAATGTATATATAGTATCTCACAGAAGTGAGTACACCACTCACATTTTTGTAAATATTTTATGATATAATTTCATGTGACGACACAGAAGAAATGACACTTTGCTACAATGTAAAGTAGTGAGTGTACAGCTTGTATATCAGTGTACATTTGCTGTCCCCTCAAAATTATTCCACACAGCCATTAATGTCTAAACCTCTGGCAACAAAAGTGAGTACACCCCCTAACGAGTCACATGACACCTCCCCGGTGTCATGTGACTCGTTAGTGTTAAAAGGTCTCAGGTGTGAATGGGGAGCAGGTGTGTAAAGGTGCCCATACACCTTACGATTATCGTACGATAATCGTATGCGATCGACTTTTCGTACGACAATCGTAACGTGTGAATAGAGTGCCCGACCGATAGTACTGTACAATCGTACGACTTTTGGCGGTCAAGCATGTTTAAAAACTTTGCTATGGGGAGCAGGTGTGTTAAATTTGGTGTTATCGCTCTCACTCTATCATACTGGTCACTGGAAGGTCAACATGGCGGCAACCAGGTGAGAAGTACAAAAAGACAAGTGTGTCTTGCCTACAGTCAAGCATGGTGGTGGGAGTGTCATGGTCTGGGTCTGCATGAGTGCTGCCGTCACTGGGAAGCTACATTTCATTGAATCTTTGTACTTCTCACATGGTTGCCGCCATCTGAACCAAATAAGTTTACCTTGGACTCATCAGAGTCGGCTCTGCCCATGTTTTGAGATTTTCCACTCTAAATCACACCTCCCTCTCTTACTGTGCACTGACCCGCAGCACCTGGTGCACTCCCGGCTCTCCCTGTTCAGTAGCCACCCCAAACTCTCAGGTGGCTGATGGAGAGTTCCAATTTCATCCAGAGTAGGTCCCCCGAGGGGGCAAAAAATAAAAGGTCGTCCAAATACAGCACAACCCCTACTACTCTCGCCCTCAGAGGGGCAAGGGCTTATGCCAGCACCATGGTAAAAATCCTCGGTGCGGACGAAAGTCCAAAGGACAGTGCGCTGTACTGAAAATGGAGAACTCCAGCCGGTCCGCTGACCGCAAACCGCAGCAGTTTCTGAGAGGACTTCTGTATCGGGATGTGAAAACATGCATCCCTGAGATCATACTGAACTTTTGGTAACGCACAACCTTGTTTAAACGTTTCAGGTTCAAAATCAACCTGCCTTTTCCAAAGGGTTTCATCCGTGCAAACAGATGAGAATAAAACCCCCTCCCTTCTTCCTGCTTTGGCACCTGCACAATCACCCCTTGGTCCAGCAGGTCTTGAAGGGACACAGTCATAAACCTCGCCTTTTCTGGATCCCTGGCGAGTGATGTGGCTAAATATCTGGGAGGGGGGTGGACCCGTCCATTCTATCCTGTACGCCAATTTACAATTTCCAGGACAAGCTTGTTGTCCGACAGTGCTGCCTAACGTGGGAGGAAGTGCCCCAGCCTTCCGCCCACCTTGGTCATGGCGTCACTGTGGTTTGGGCTTCCCATTAGTCACTTCCCATTCATAATTGAGCATATAGTAAACATACTATGTCCTCAATTATTTGCAAACACTCAGCGATCACTGATCGCTGAGTGTTTGTACTCGGTCTCCATCCTGACAGCTGTCATAGGAGCCTGAGCAGCGGTACGGTGAGTAGAGCTCAGCCTTCTGTGACAGCAATGGCTGTCTCCATCCCCACACCGCTCTGCCGGACTGTGACAGGAGGCTGAGCGGTGTGGGTGGAGAGGCACTGGCCGCTCACAGCTCTCTCCTCCCGCAGCGCTTGGCCGCCTGTGACACTTTCTCTCCTCCCCGCTGGGACACAGAGCAGCGCCAGCGGGGGAGGAGAGAAAGCAGGGATACGCCACTGTAGCGACCAAAAAAATAGCACTTTAGGGCATATATCGTTGCAATATA